ATTTGCATCAAAATATTGACTAGAATTTGTTGATTTGGTTTGAAGTACGAGGCTTGAATGTTTTCTAATGGTAAATGTAAAATTTTAGACTGCACTCGTTTTAAACTTTTGAACAGTTTGAATTAGCGAGTTGCGGTTTATTTTAAATTGAAATTCATACCAAAATATAGATTTGCATTAAAATATCAACTAAAATTTGTTGCTTTGATTTGAAGTACAAAGCTTGAAAGTTTTCTAATGGTAAATTAAGATTTTAGTATGCACTCATTTTAAAATGATCCTAACTTTTGGACGGTTTGAATTAGCGAGTTGCCGTTTGGTTTAAATTGAAAATCAGCTCAAAATCTATCGATTTTCATCAGAATATTAACTAGACTTTGATTGCTCTGGTTTGAAGTACGAAAATTGAAGCTGTAAGACCAATGATAACATAAGGTGCACTATTGTATGGTGGCCTAAAGTAGACCAAAGACAAGGAAATCTGGAGCTAGCCAAAATCCAAAGACTTGTATGTCTTTGTATCAATGTTGCACAGGAAAGCACATCGACGGCAAGTATTGAAACAATCCTAAACCTCCCACCAATTGACCTTTATCGTCAAAGCGGAGGCTAGAATCGGGGCATATCATCTCCAGTGAACGAAAACTGGAACCCAAAACCAAACGGACATGCGGCAATCAAAAAAATAATCAAAAACCTGATTTTAACCATCGGAAATGACTATATGATGCCGAAAAAATCCCTCAAAAAACCCTTCTCCATCGAGTCTGTTCCGGTAGGAAACACCGGGTTAACACATAAACAAGAGATTATCTGGTTTACTGACGACCTCAAAACAGGAACTGGAACCGGCGCTGGAATATATAGACAAACTCCCAGATGCGACATCAGTCAACCTCTGGTAGAATACACTACTGTATTCCAAGCAGAAATATATGCCATCGGTTCCTGTCTGAGAGAAAACCTAAGAAGGGGATACACAGGTAAAAACATCCTTATCTGCTTAGAAAGTCGAGCGTCGGTTAACGCACTCAACAGTTGAGAAATAAAATCCAAATTTGTCTGGGAATGCTTGGGAAACCTCAAAACCTAAGTATGCTAATGGTACAACAACCATCACCTAAACTTACTGAAAAAATCCTGCAACTAAACAGGAATCAAATCAGGCTAATAACTGGCATCATAACAGGACACTGTAGCCTGAGAAAACACCTTCACCCAATGGGCATCCTCCAGGAAGAAGCCACATGCAAACTTTGTGACGCAAAGGTTGAAACTACCACCCACATAGTCTTCGATTGTAAGGCTTTACGGTGGAGATAAGTACAGACAGATAGGGCTAGAAAACCCTGTCTCTGAACTCACCAAAAGCTACACTGTGAAGAGGCTCCTAAACCTAATCAAGCAGGTCAAGAAACTTTTCACTGACCAAACAGACGAACAGAACCAATCACCCAATAAGCGGCTGCAGTGTTGGGGTCACGTAACCCGGCCTGTTCACTTTGCATCCCAACCAACCAACCAACACTCTTTGATGGTTGATGTTTTAATGAAAAAGAGTGAAACTGAAGCCAATTTGGAAGAATAGGTTCCTTTGACAAATTGAAACGGAATGTGAAGGTGAAAAGATTCATACTTGAAAAAAATGGTGAATTTATTTTCAAATTTTTTGAAGAAGTTTGTAATCACAAGGGCATTAGATTAAAGTATACAATTATTGCTTATACTCCACAAATGAATGACAAATTCAAAAACATTGATCGAATTTTACTGCTTACGATATAGACTCTGGGTATAACTAAAACAATATAAGGCATGGCCCATGGGAAGCAAATTCTTGAAGCAAAGGAGCAGCAGTTTCTCGAAGCAAAGGAGCAGCATTCTCATGAGAACACATTTTCTATCTTTGTCAGTCATATGAGATTTCGCATGCAACTGAGAAGGACAGGGCACTTGCTCTCATAGAAACCCTACTCCCTTGTTGGGAAACCAGGCGCCAGTGTATGGATGGAACAGAACACCAACATCTGTTTTGCCCAGAGGTCAAGCACCATCAAATATTAGGGATGAGAGAAATATCATCAGTAAATTGAGAATATTTGGTTGTAAACTTTATTGTTAAAAGGGCAACAAGCCCACAAGTAAGAAAAACACGTATGTGGTGATGGTTATAGATTATGTATGGTTGCAATTCAGAAAATCAAGAGATGTGCGATTTTATGAGGGATTTATCGAGGGATTTATGGAGTACAAACTCGAAACACATGTTACCTCGTGGAGAAGAAGAGAATAACATTGATGAAACAGGAAAATGCCAGAAGGTCATGTTGCCATTGACACTCGGTAAGAATTCAGAATACAACAAGATGGCATGGAAAAGGCACGATTAGTGGCAAGTTCCTAATGACAGAATAAAATTAGTTCTGCACAAGTTTGTCGACTCTCAACAATATAAGCAAAAGCGGCTTATTTCGAATATAACCCAACCAGAATAAACTGCCCTATTTGCACCGTAAGAATCTAGAGCACATTCTCCGATATGACCCTCGCTTCAAAAATATCGACCATATACCGGGTGGTCCTCCGGGAATGACATCGATTGCTTATGGGAAAACTGTGAAAGGTAAAAATTTGAAAATTTGGCAACATAGCAATGTCGATGGGGGACATCTAGGTAAAATATTTTCAAGATGGCGGCATTTCCGGTCATACCGGAAGTTGATACCAACTCGGTTATTTTAAATAGAACACCCCATATATTAATGTATTTTTGGATTCTACATAAAATTCTGAGCAGATTTCATGTAATATACCCTATACCTAAGTTCAACTGTTTTGGAAATATTGACAGTTGAAAATTGACTTTTTGCAACTTTGACAAGCTGTAAAACCTAATTGGTTAATTTTAGAGGAAAACCGATTTCACATTCCTATCTTAGATTTTGATAAACTATCATTTGACACCAACTTTGAACTTAAACGGAGATTAAATTTAACTGAAATTTTTAATCATGGATTTAATTCAAAGTTGATGTCAAATGATAGTTTATAAAAATCTAAGATAGGAATGTGAAATCGGTTTTCCTCTAAAATTAACCAATTAGGTTTTACAGCTTGTCAAAGTTGCAAAAAGTCAATTTTCAACTGTCAATATTTCCAAAACAGTTGAACTTAGGTATAGGGTATATTACATGAAATCTGCTCAGAATTTTATGTAGAATCCAAAAATACATTAATATATGGGGTGTTCTATTTAAAATAACCGAGTTGGTATCAACTTCCGGTATGACCGGAAATGCCGCCATCTTGAAAATATTTTACCTAGATGTCCCCCATCGACATTGCTATGTTGCCAAATTTTCAAATTTTTACCTTTCACAGTTTTCCCATAAGCAATCGATGTCATTCCCGAAGGACCACCCTGTATACAAAGCTATTGCAATGCGGATACTATAAAATCGCTTACTCACACACAAACTCTTTGCTTTTTGTAAAAATAACTCATGGCTCGAACGAGATGTTATAAGCATTGACCTATTTAGGTTTTGGCTTTGCCACGAGAGAATTTCATACCTAATATTTAAGTTTCTCTGGCATATTTAATTATTGCTACGGAAACTATTGATTTGGGACACGCGACTCAGTAGCGCCGTTTGCAAACTACAGTTTACTTGAATAATACTAAAAATAATTAGGCAAAAAAGTCATGTTAGCAGAAACTTAGCATTATTTATTGAGGAACTATTATACTGAACCAGATTGCGAATAATGCGAATATGTATTTCTAATTTATGATTGGTTTAATAATATCAAATAATACGTAGGTATTAGCAGAAATAAAGTTATCGGAATTAATTGGTATATCTAACCTTTATAGTTGAAATTCCAATACATATTTTTTATTCACCTTCAATCTTCGATCACCATATTATTCAATAGGATGGATTAAGTGACATAATATCTTTAAGATAAAAGAAGTACCTAGTAAAATATAGCTTCACTATTTTAAAAATAGAAGTACATAAGAATTTTCAATGGAATAACAAACAAAATTCTCATTCCTTCCACGAACCTCCATTAAAACACGACACGAAACCTATTTCCGCTAATTATTCACGCGTTTTCTAGTAAAAGCATAATATCAGCAGGCAAATCATTTTATACATACGTTCATACGAAAACGTATATACAATTTCGAAAATAGAAATTCCCGAAACTGGATTCTGTGTTTTTGGATTTGTATGTCAACGATTAATTATAATGAAAGTTCATTGATGATAATGCGCTTGTTGAATGAATTTGGGAATTGAATTGAAAAGAACACTGAATGAACCAAAATTCAAGAATGAAGGCTTGTTCCGTCGGTCAAATTCAGTAACCAGAGTCTTTCCGTGGTCTACTTGGCATCATCAGCTTATCCTGTCCACTGGTGGACATAAAACCTCTCTCAAACTTTTCTATTCTGAAATCCAATCCAATAATTATCTCAGCAAAACATGATTACCAGTTCTACAAAAAGAAATGCATTTTCGCTTTTAAGATCATAGCAGAATAGAGTCTCAGAAAGTTGGCATAATTTTTCTGAGTAGGTACAAACCCTCAGTCAACGAAGAGATGTTTTTGTAAATGTCTATCACCCCAGACGAAGACGAAACGTCAGGTGGGAATACCAACAAAATCTTCTCACCAAAAATACAAGAGTCGGAATGTTTATAATCATTGGGTTATGACGTAATAACTTTAATGGATTGCGCTATGAAATTCATCAAGTATTGTATTATTCAACCCTTTATTTCTTGATTCGAAAAAAATCGTTCCAATATTTATCAGAATAAAATTGAAATCCAAGAAGCCCCATGAACATCTTCCTATAAATCATTCCCTTGGCTTTCGACCAATTTTCAATTATATTTTACGACCAGCCTGATGGAAAGACTAAATTATGCACTCTATTTTATGTTTTTCCATATATATTTTTTGATTTTTATTTTAATGCATACCCTCGCTTTTTCCAGCTGACTAAGTGCCGCCCGCTCCTTCTCCCTACGCAAATTTTCCTTTTCCTCGTCCAACGACAGGTCCGATGAAGGCTGCGAATAATTAGAATCAGCGGAGCCCTAGAAGCAAAAATTATTCATTAGAATTTATATGTTTTTTGTTATTTCCTATTAATCACTCAATAAACATAAAATAAGTTAAAGTTGTTAGATAACAAAGTATTTTTCTTATTTACGAAGAAGTACTGCATTGTTAACTTTTTGTCGGAAGTGGAGGTATCCTGATCTTGCTTTACCGTTAGATTTCCAGAGAACCTTAGAGAAACTTCCAATGACTCCCGACTACTTAACTTTAACTTATTTTACAAAAATACAAATACCATTCTAATTCTAATTTATGTATATTTCTACACCATAAAATACCTAAAGTATGTATCGCTATGATGATGATATCTAATCATAATATTTATAACATTTATCTCTACAATGAAGTGAAGTGTTTGTTAATTGTAATTTGTTGTATATTATGCAGGAGTTGTTATCGTTGTGTCATTGTTAGATTTAGATAGTTGTGCAAACCCTATGTGAAAGGTCGCGGGGGCAAATGTGAGCCCAAATCGCATTATTAGATCAGGAAAAAAAGGAGTAGAATCTTCAGAGACAATCGGTTTTACCAGGAATAACAGACAGCGCATTCCTTTGCGAAAGGTCGCGGGGGCATTTGTGAGCCCAAATGGCATTATTAAATTAGGTATCAGGATCGAAAAATCAAAAGCCTCATTCAACTAAACAGATAACTACTGCTACTCTTTTGATGGGGATATCTAGAATTACTTCTCCTGTCCAGTTTATTAGAAACCCTTATTGAAATGCGAATCATTGGATTTATGGTCAAGGCACTGGTTATTGAGAAAAAAGTTATTTGTATACATTATGAGACTAGGACCGAATGTAGAACGAAGAACATCCATGACATCTTTCCAGGTGCTTAAGGACGATTTAACGTGCATTCCGGTTAGAATAGAAGGAGTTACAATTTTGTAATCAACCTAGTCCTCTTCCATTTATTAAGCAATAAATTAAGCTTCTGATTTGATGCCAATTTGGAATTGGGTGTACATTCCTAGGGCCTTTGAGAATAAAATATAAATGGCTTATCTCAGATATTTCATACGTTTGAATACGGGAAGGTGTGTAGGTATAAAATGCTGAAGCGAAAAAATAGAACAATCATGCATTGAGAAAGGTTCATGCTAAACTATTGTTAAATTCTTTTTGTTTTTGAAAAGAAGTGGAGAGCATCAGGTCTGATATCATTATGAAGAAGTAATATGTGAAGGGCGACTGTACATATACATACTTACACATGATCTAAATTTCGCCCAAACTATATTTACAATAATCTATTTGAGTATTCAGCTATAAAATGATTTTATCAAATACCTGCATTTAATATATTATTAGTGGCATTGCTAAAAACTACCATTAAAATCTAATTAGGCTTTGATGGTATGAATCTATTGAACAAATGAAGTAAAATTACATGGCTGATATGTTTATTTAGTTATTTTAATATCCCAACCTATTGTTGATTTTACAAAGGGTTCACTGTTTAATCTTGTATTTAGATGTCAATGCTACTGTAATAATCATCATGATAACATTGACATATAAATAACAGAAATCATCTACAAATGAATTTTGATTGATCCTACAGGCTTTTCTAAACCACTCTCCATTGTGAGAACTACTAGTTTCTTACCAGGGTAGTGTATTTTGACATAGGTTAGTTGCGGTAACGCTGACAAACATGCGACAATATTAGTTAACTTCGTACTTAATAAAGGTTCTTCCTCGGTCAAATCTAGAGGGAAACATTCAAATTAAACAGTTACATAATTAGGATAATTTCAAGATATAATATCATTACATACATATATTATGGATGTTGTTTCAAGAATTAAATTTTATATATTTCCTTTATTCTCCACTTTCTGATCTGGCTCGAACTGTTCCAGGCATCTTTGCACCAAATTCATAAATCGATTCTGGGATTTGATTATTTATGGCGATAACATTACCACAAATAAAGGGAGGAGTATCTATATCTTTCTACCAGACGTCCTTGAAACACTTTGCAAGTGGAACGCAGTTAACCAAGAAAACACCAGTTCGAACAAAGGCGTTCGTTACAGGAAGAGTAAGTAGTTACTAAAGAAACCTCTTGATATTTCTAATGGTAAATAAGCGGAATACTTGCTTATGCACCTTTCTGAGTCTTATCGTACTTTACGGACCACGGTCAGTAAATTACCACCCGAGTTACAATACTTTTTCTTGTATATCACTCTAGATTCTAGATCCTCTCTCAAAAATTCCTTAGTTTGCTCTAAACATCGACAATATAGAAAACCTGAGCACTTTCCTTTTAAAGTTTATGAGAAACTCTTGGTACCTTTACTTGAGAATTATTCCAACGTCGCAATGCTATGTTGGTTCTCTTTACCAGATAGAATTTTATGTTTGGTTAAATGCAATCAAAGGACATCATCTAAAAATTTGTTGATCTTCCGGATATATTCGGAACTCATTACTTCATTCCAACTTCTTTTACTTATTTGTAGTGATTATGATAAGATTCACGAACGTTAAAAGTATGTTTGAAGCAGGAAAAATCCAGGACACAACAAAGGAATAAACAGATTAAGTATTGACGTAATGGGTATCAATGAAATGAGATGACAAAGAAACTGAGAATGCTAAGTAAGAGATCATATAGTATATTATGCTGGGAACGAAGAGAGTTGTTTTTTTCACAAGGAAGTAGTTAAAACCTTCCATTATTGGTTGTCTGCCATACTCTGACAGGGTTATTTTGCTTAAGCTCAGGGGAGAACCTTTTAACATAAATGTTATTTAAATATATGCCCCTACATCGGACACAAGCGATGAATCAATGGAAGGATTTTAAACTCAAACAAAAGAAGTACTTGAAAATGGTAAAGCAAGAGAGGTGGACATAATAATGGGGGACTTCAATGCTAAAGTTGGACAGAGGATATTGTAGAGGTAGCTTTGGTCTGGGACAGAGAGGAGATAGACTAGTTCAGTTCTGCAGAGTGTAATATGCCAAATGCTACTGTCTTTTTTTTTTTTTCATTTATTATCTAATCAACTAAATTCGCCTTGAATGCTGACAGTCTGGTGACTGTAAATTTTAAAAAAAGGTTTCTGCCGCCAATAATAATAGCAATTATTAACATAGACGACATGCTTTTCCTTAAAATTTGAAGTACCAGTTGGGTACCGACACTTCCCGTTGGCTATTTTTCGAAGGAAAGCTCTGCTTGTTCAGCTTGTCCTATTCTTCGTCCGTTTCAAATTTTGACTTTCGACCTGAAAGGTTGAGCTTGCCCTGGGGGCAGCAATCTTCTCAAGTGGAATATCGATTACCATTCTCGTGGAAAAAAGTACCTTATCGGCCATCAGGCACTAGTTTGACGAAATAAAGTTGCGTAGGGCAATGTTCCGTTAATTACCGAAAAACACCAAATGTCTTGTGATTATATACCGATATATTTGAGTTTGAATTTCGAACCTCTTCGTTCGTGGTAAGATCTTTTTTTAGTAATGGTTGCTCATGGAATGCCTCTATTACTTGGGGTCTTTCGAAAAGCCAGTTTCTTTCGAGGAGCCAGTTTCTTTCGAAGAGCCAGTTTCCCTATTTTCCATGCAGATTATTTGGCTGCGGCATGGGCAAAGAGCTTTTGAAGGGATTTCCTAGGGAAATCAATTCCCTCACGTGTCGATAACATTTGACGAAAACTGTGATTTTCTAGCATCTATTTACCTTGATTCAAGGCTGGAATCTGCAATTTCTATCTGCAACTTCTATCGTCAATTAAGTGACAGAAAATGGACTTCTCCCTTTCAATTTTTTGTGTGCTTCTAAAAAAATAAAAATTGACGTGTCCGAGAGGAAAGTTAGGAAAGTGTTTATTTGAGAATAGCACGGCTATAAGATTATTTATTTAGCCCATGGCAACTTTGACAGTGAATATCTTGAGAACTAAGCATTCGATTTTCGGAAGACATACGCAGTTGTGACAAGAATCAAAATACCTTTAAAACAAGATACAACTCGACCCATCTTCCCTATCTTAAAAACAGGGCTGAAAATCAGCCCACCCAGGGAGTGCACCCTATCGAAATACCGATGGAGTCAAAAACTTTTCCCCTTGAATAGAAAAATGACGTATCCGAGCGCTTTTTTTTTTAAATCGACCTCAAAATACCCTAAAACGCCTCTCTTTCTCTTTCGATGTTCGTGAAACACCCTGTACACTTGAGGATTTCTGTTATATCTCCTTTATACCTTCAACGTTTAGCCTTTGATTTCATACAGTTTTAATAAGATTTTAGTGAATTTATTTTTCTGGCAGCAGCTGACCATATTTATCCATATGATATTTCAATTTTCAATCATTCATTTTTTTTTTTTTAATTAATTTTCTGGAAACTTGAATTTTTCATATTTTCATCTCAAGTTAGCCCAGCGACTGTTAAGTTAAATTATGTGACAACTATACTAGTGTATATTGTGGGTTAAGCCTCTATCCATTGATTTATTATTTACTGCTCAACTGCTTTCTTATTGTCCGAACTGTAATATTGAATTTGATATCACCGAAGAAATTTACACTAATGGTGTTTCCGATTGGTAGATTCAGTGCGCCCTGAGTGTATTTGCATCCTTTTAATCGACCTGTAGAAGAAAAAGACAGAAATAGAAAAAATTGCACTAGTTCCGCACTAGATCTACCAATCGGAAACGCCATAATTTAATTTGAATATACTCGACTGTCTTATTGGTTTACCTGTGTCAAGATTTGATGAGTTATATGCCTTATTATTTTCTTTTCAGAATTATTTCTTTTTCTGTCCATAATTTTAATTTATTTTTATATGAATGTGAGTACGGAACAAGGCCAGAAACGGAACACAACAATATTATTATAATGTCTGTTTTTTTTTTTTTTTTAAGATACAAGTCAAAATGACATTATATGTTGTCAATACAATGTAAAATTGTCAAGCATGGTAAGCACACTTGTATTGAA